TTCCTTGCCACGATCCATTGGATAGAGTTCTTGATATCTATCCTGTTACTTAATAAAATCCATTGCAATTTTTTTTTTTCACACACTTTGCATCGCTATTACACTGATACCAACTCTAAGGTATGTAGGAATCCCTCAATCTCAAAACTAATAACACCAAGTACCAGGATACCACCCTAGACCATGTATACAATTGACTAAACACAAAATAAGTGAATAAAATAAATTATTAAGTGCGAAATGGAGCAAAAACAAAAGCAATGTGTGCCTTTTTTTGTAGGGTGTGTGTGTTTGATTGGTAATAAAGACGACACCAAAACTAGAGAACTAACTACAAAAAAAAGAACAAAAACAACTTCCAAATTATATGAAACAAGTTGATTACAAATAGGTTAGTGAGTTCCCAGGCCCAGATGTTACCAGAGAGATGCCCCAACACACTCCAAGAGGTAGGTTGGAATGTGGGATTACGGAAGGACTCTAGGTCTCTCTTAAGTGAGGGATATAAGCCTCACCTTTGATGCCCTCCAAAATATGAGCTTGGGGTGAGAGTAGGCCCTTTTCATCCAATAAGGCAAAATGCCTTGTGGAAGGGCATTGGATTACAAAACTTGTGTTGGCTTGGGCTAATAAGAAGTCTGGCTTGCTTTGGTTTGCGTTTGAGTTGTTTACGATTATGCTTCTCTCTCTAGCATACAAAGTCTTGGGCTCATGTACCTTCTCTCTCTAGACAAGTTTTTTCTCTCTAAATTTTATAGTTCAAACTTTCTATCCCAAGTCTCTAACCTTCTCTCTCTAACTTCTTTTGACCCTTAAATTGATCATTGCTTTAGGAATTTATAGGCCTTAACTCAAACATGGGTTGTAATAAAAAGTTAGATTATTTGTGGATGGCAAGCAAACTTTTGTCCTATTTTTTTAAGGGAAAGTATATAATGAGATCATTTATCTTTGGTACAAGATGGTCACAATTGATCTTGACCTATAATGTGATAATGGCTGCAGTTATTTTATTGATCAAGCTCAAAGTTCAAAAGAAATTTTCTCGAACTTTATGATACATCCAAGCTATCAGATTTTATATCGGATGAAAGGTAAATGGTTTCACTGTATACAATCCCTTTTTTTAAAGGGCAAGTTTATTATGATTTTTCTTTTAATTACATGGAGATGTCAAATAGATTGCCATTGGAACTTTGGAGATTTGCATAACATCCTTCTCCAGTTATATTGGCCTAAATATGATGAATTTATGGTTATTTCCTATCTATAAACTTGTGGAGAATTGAGATGAGATTGTTAGGTATCTAAGTTTCATTTAAAAACTCCTCATATTCATGGGGATTTGTGGTATAGGTTAGTTGAGGAAGGGTATTTTCGTTAAAAAAATGAACTTTTGTACGGGGTATTGGTTAGGAAATGTTGGGTGGGGGTAACATGTGTAAAAAGTCCATTTTGGAAGGTTTTTTCAATTTTTCCAAAACAAAATTCATAAAATTTCCTCCTTCAACCAATGGTTTAAAAAGCGGATCGGTGACCCGGATCGGACACCTTAAAAACCGATCCAGATCGGTGAATCGGCGATCCGAATCGGGAATAGACTGAATCGGTCGGATTAAACCTTCAAAAAAAAAAAAATATATTAAAATTCATTATAAATGTTGTTTCTTAGGAATCCAATAAGAAATGAGGGTACTACATTATTAACTTTTATTTTTTTCATCAATTTGTGAATATTGAGATACTCTTTTCCTGTATGAACTTATGTTGACCATTAAATTTACATCACACAAAAGAAATCATAGAATTATCATGGATTAATTATATAATCATATATGGACTACAATAAAGAGTTGACTAAATCGATGAAAATTTGGCCACTAAAATCTAGAATTGGCGGAAAATCCTAATCCGTTAAAAAAACCCAAATTATTACAACCTAACTAACTATAATATTATATACCAACAATATTTTTATAATTATTTTATTACATAAATAATAACAAATCCAAAATATTTTATAATATCATCTAATTTAAAATGTATTATTGACAACTGTAATAAAAATAATGCACTACATGCTTTATAATACAAAAATTAATAAATAAAATAAAAGATTTGGTTATTAATGTAGAAATTATTAGTATGCGTACCAATTTTCTTTAATTTTTTAGGTTTCTAGAATAAATTAGTGGAAGAGATTATTAGTAGAAAGAGAGAGATTTCAAATGGCCTCATTGTATGAATCCTATCTTTAAATTAATATTACTAAATTTATATTAAAGACCATCATGTTATAAAAATAAAAAATATAATTAGACCATTTATTCCTAGGTCGTATTAAGAAATACCTTTATTTTTTTGACAAGAAATACTTATGGTGTTATCTTTTATTTTTTTTTGCAAGAAAAATATGATACTTGTTGATTATCTTCTTCTTTTTTTTTTGACAAAAGAAGAAGACATTGTACTACATTTTTTTTTTGCTTGTTGTATTACTTTTTATTTTTTTTACAAGAAAAATAAGAATATGATGCTGCCAAAGTACATTTTATTTTTTTATGCCTTTTGTTTTTTGTTTTTTGCAAGAAATACTTGTTATATTACCTTGTATTTTTTTTACAAGAAAAATAAAAAAATTGTTGTATTACATTTTTTATCTTTATCTTGAAAAGCCTTTTGTTTTTTATTTTTTCTAGTTTTTTACAACAGTATTTTCTGCCTTTGTTTATTTTTGTTGTCAAAACTTTTTTTATGCCTTTTGTTTTATTTTTTTTGCAAGAAATACTTTTTATATTACCTTGTATTTTTTTTACAAAAAACATAAAAAAATATTGTAATATATTTTTTATCTTTATCTTGAAAAGCTTTTTATTTGTTATTTTTTAAGCTTTTTTTACAACAAGAAAGGCTTTTTATTTTTTCTATTTTATTTCAAGCTTTTTATTCATTATCTTGAAAAACTTTTTATTTTTTATCTTTATCTCTATTTTTTATCTTTATCTTAAAAAAATGTTGTATTACATAAACGACGACGCACAAGGGGTTCAAACTCAAGACACCCGTCTGAAATTCAAAGTTGTCAACCAACACCACCACATCACCTGATGTGATTCGTTAGCCTCTATAATATAATACATATTCAATCATCTTGCTTAAATGGTTTTTTGTGGGAATTATCCCACATCGAAGGATGAGTGACCCTTTGTTCTCTATAAAATGTTGTGTACTAGTCCATCAACTGCGCGTCTAGAAAAGAGAAGGGGCCATACGAGTGAAGTGAATTTTTAGGTGCTACGTGTCACTCTCGTGAGGTTGCCACGTGTCACTCTCGGTGAGACTCGCGATCCACTATTGGGAATCGTTGGGAATCGCCCGGCTACCACATGTCACTCTCGGTGAGACTCGTGATTCACTATTGGGAATCGCCGAGAATCGCCCGGTTCTCTCTGGACATGGGCGATTCCCGATTTTGCCGTGGAATCGGCTCGGTATCAGACGATTCTCGAGTTGAACCGGG